TAGAGGGACAACACTTTTAGTGCAGAAAGTTTACATTGTGGGTTTCATTTACTAAACACCGAATTGAAGTAAAATGAAAAATTAAATGCACAATTAACTCAAAAAATAGCTGATTTTCAAAATTTCTCTAAATCTGCTATAGTTATAGTTTGACTCTTTAAGGCACCATTTTGCAATTCAATTTCGAATCTGCTTCAATGTGTAGTTTAGTGCGCATATACTCAGTACTGCTATATACTAGAACAATCCTGAAAATCCCTTCAAATCCTGAAAATGCTGCTTTTATTGTCACAACCTGTTATCCACAAACTCATTGTGCATGTCGATGTTAAACAGACCCCTGTTTTGGGGTATATCTTAATACTGCTCTCAGCGCCAACATCACCCGTCCCTTCTGTGCCTCCTGCATTATGGGCACCGTGGAATGTATCTCTTTTTTTTTTTTTGTTTAGTTTTTTCTACTAATTTCAACAAACTTTATATTTTCCCCCACAATTAACATTCTTGTTAATTCTACTAACATCTATTTTTTTATTATTATTTTTGTGCTGTTTATATAAATATGATTAACTTTTTTTTTACATGGATTTGTTAAAGATTAAGGGATATATATATATATATATATATATATATATATACCTGAGTAGTTTCAATTCTCTCATTTACCCTTTGTACTCCTTGGTAATGCATTTTAACCTGCTTTTTTACTACTGAATTTATTACTACAGAAGAAGTCATAGCATCTCCAGACGTTGTGCTTCCGTTTACACTAAGCTTTTCACTAAGTATTTAGCTTAACGTCAGAATTGCTGCTATTTTTTATTCTTTGTACGGAAACGCAACAGTTCTTTACCATAGTGTTAACCGCAGACGGTATGAAAGGCCTTCTGTAACCAGAATCCTACCTACCCCCTATTTGCACTGCTATGCAGCAATACTTTCCCGCCTTTTGATATGAATCTCAGAGAATTTAAGTATTGTGGTTTTTTTGTCGCAACACTCCAAAATCCGTTTTTACATTTTCATATAATACAACCCTTTTCTACATTTTCATATACTACTGTTTTTATATTCTGGTATTTCAGAACTCGTTTCTACATTTTAATATCCCAGTATCCTTTTCTACATTTTAATATCCCAGAATCCCTTTTGCCGTTTTGATATCGCAAGATTTCTTTTCTTTGCTTTATTCTCCCAGAATCCTTTTCAGCATTTTGATATGAAAAAAATTGTAGCTTTATAGAGGCACTCTAAGGATCATAAAAACTGCAGCCCGCTGTAGTGGTTATGGTAACAGCGTGAGGTTAAATTTTTCCACGTTAGCAATATCCTTCCTGTCAGCTGATACCAGAGTTGGACAAAATTGATACCGCTAGTGCGGAAGTTTACGTTCAGCTTAGCAATATAAAAGGCAGGGGGTGGACTATCGGCGCACAGGGGACCCTCAGTTTGTGTTCCACCACAAAATAGATGATAGCTGTAGTGTTTATAGTTTTCCGAGTGCACCTTTAGTATGTCTTTTTACCATTCACACAATCCATTTTCATATTTCCATATTCTTTTTTTTAACCTTTTTTTACTCATGAATCATTTTAACATATCCATTCTGCAAAATGTTCCATCTATAAGTTTTGCACTTTGCACATTTTTAGATATCTATTTCATTGCTCAGAATTCTTTTCTACATATTGATATTACAAAGTGTTTAATTGTTCCATCCAATAATGATTCTGTGCCTTTTAAAATCCCCAAACTCCATTCGGTTTTCTTTTTATAATTGCCTAATTTTATGTTTATGTAAATATGTGCTTTGCTAAATTCCCAGAATCCTTTTCGGTGCTTAAAATCCCACACCAAATATGAACCTTCTTATAAATTGTTTACTATCTTGTCATTTATAGCACATAACTATTTTCTGCCTTATCATGAACAGAATCCATCCCAGAATCCTTTTCTGCCTCATTATTTCCTCGAATTAATTTTTGGCCCTATAATTAATAGCATCAATCCCAGAATAATCTGGTGCCAAATTATTAACTTCTTCTTGTTTGCCACTAATAGTACATATTTATCTTGTGCCACTTAATTGCTCCAAAATTATGTTCTACATTATCATTAATAGTGGTCTGCAATTCAGAATATTTTCCTACTTCCCATTAATGTATAATCCCAGAATCCTTTTCTTTCATGTTACTAGTTAATAATTTCTGCCTATTTCCCGAAATCCATTTTTTTCTTGTCACTAATGGTATCCATTGTAGACAAACTTTTTAACCATTAATTTGCAATAATTCCTTTCTTCCATGCCATAATTGAATACAGGAACTAATCATTTGGTAAAAAGAAAATGCATGTATTATATTAAACTAGTAAAATGTTTCCATATTGTCAGTTGACACAGAACACTTAAAGGGACATTGTACTCATCATAAGCACTATGTCTTATTTTGGTACTATGGTGCAAAGGGGCTTGGGAGTGCCACCCCTGTATTTTTATATAAAACTACTTTTGAATAATTTGCCAAAAAAAAAAAAACATGCTATCCTCTGAAGCCGTTAACCCCTTGCATGTAACTCTTATAATGCAGAAGTTACACTTCCGCATTATCCGTACAATTCTATCCATGCTGCACGCGCTATGGGCGGAGTTAGCTCCTCGTTAACATATCTGTAGACTCATTAGAAGGCAATCAATGAGTAAATTTCACAGGAGATCATGGCACCCTGGTAATTAATTGTTTTCCTCCTATGAGGATGATGGATTTTGCACACTGCTGGGATCTTCTGTGTGTCTGCAGACCATCAGTAAGTAATATTTAATATAATGAGCAAAAAAAATTATGGAATTTGTAATTATACTATCAGCAGTCTAGTATAATTTGTATTTAACGTTTTCACATGATTAAAGTTTTAAAGCAGAAAGGGACAATAGGATAATTGTCGGTCCAGATCAGAAGCCATCTAAAAATATATCTTTATAAACTACTGCCGAATGACCACAGCCCAGCTCAATAATGTATATATGCCTCATGGTTATTCATTAATGATTGAACTGGCAGGAATACAAGGAGTTAAAGCAAAATATGCCAAAATAGCCGAATTTGAAAATATTGTGGCCTAAAAATTTAAATTTACTTTGAATTTACAATTCCCACTTTAGTAAATTAACTCTGACAAAGCCTCAGACAATATTTATCAGAATGTTCTCTAGTTAGCTCAAAGGAAGTTTAAAGGTACAGTCGGTTTTGGAATAGCTATATATAAGGACTTGTTTTAACCTCTTAAGGACACATGACGGAAATATTCCGTCATGACTCCCTTTTATTCCAGACGTTGTGTCCCTAAGGGGTTAATGTCTCTATAAAATGGTGGTACTCTGGTTTTTATATATTCAGCTGCAAGTCATCTCCCACTGCCTCCCCAAACACTATATACTGTGAATCTCTGCCTGTTGGCTACCCTGAGCAATCGCCGCAGCTGATCGCGAATAACTGACTACTTTTCTCAAAGGTCTTCCCTCTAATTATTTTTTTGATTTTATAAAAGCTCTGAAACTAGGAAAAGAAATGAAACGGCAGCCTGTCGTTTGCACAGGAACTAAAAGAAGTTCTTTGTTGTAACGCTTTGCTATATTTTTTTTACCTGTCCCGAATACTGGATTGATCACATAAGTTATGCTTAGAGGGAACATTACCTCTGCATTAAACACGTTTTACTTTCTCATCCTCCATTGATGGTTAAGATAGTAATTATATTGTGTCGAGTCCCAGAAATAAGATTAGGCAAAAACAATAACGGTCTTAAAAAATTATTGTTTTTCACTTTTAAAGAGAGCCTAGAGGTTCCAGTTCTGTGATAATTGCTTTGGCACAGCAGATGTCTATGAACTGCATATCCCATGATGCATTGCCACGCAGACATCCAAAGTGTCAGGTAGCCATCACTGGAGTATCTGCAAGAGTTATGTTTCATTTTGTTTGTTTTTTGTCTATTTTGTTGTTGTTGTTGTTATACGTCTCTGGCTATGGGTTGGCATGCTTATTGGCTGTAATAATTTTGGATCCTTCCAAGGCTTATCGAAAAATTGACCAGAATTTTTATTGTAAACGTTTTAACACATACTCCAATTCTATCTTTTTAATATATTCTCATTAACTCTTTACCGTAACTTTAAGATTAACCATTTCTTTTATCAGCTAATATCGGCTAAAACTCCAAAAGTACTTTTGTCATTTGAAATGTAATTTACCGATCTGAAGCATCTCACAAAATAGTAATTTTACCTAAGTGAAGTGCTTCATTAACGTGGTAATTAAAACTAACACCGTAATTAACTAAAGTAAGAATTGACAGAAGTTCAAAGTGAATTTCAAATTTTAAGTCCAAAGTAGTTGAACCGAGAGCATAGATGAATTTGTCAGCTTGACTACTGGCCTTAAACGTGAATTTCACTTGGAATTCCTCGACAATTTTCACATTAGTAAATAAAGCTATAGAAAAGTGGGTTTATTCAATCCTTCACTGCGCCGATGTAATACAACACGTTGCAAGGCAAACAGCGGAGCAATGCATTATGGATCTGGCGGTGAATGTATTTAAGATACCCTATAAATGATCTGCTGTTTTATAAAAATAATGTGGAAAAAAACTGTTGTAATGACGTAGAAAGTAAATGATAATTTTAGGGATTAAACCACTGTTGGTATTAAATCTTTAATACATCTCATTCGCAGTGTTTTCATTTTGATGTTTTTAGGAGTGTACATAAGACAGTTCACGGGAAGTAATAAAGAAAGAGGTCTGTTGTAAACCAAACAGATTTAAAGGAGTGTGATTAAATCTGCCTACCAGCAGAAGTGGTATGATGATCAATACAGCATACACGTGTAGCCACGCTAAAACGTTACTTGTCACCGTTGTTAATATCCCCTTAAAGACACATGATGGAAATTTTCTGTCCTGTTTACCTTTTATTTCAGAAGCTGTGTCCTTAAGGGATATTGCGATTCTTTACTTTAGTATATAAACCTATAATATGAATATAAACCTCAGACAGAATTTCAGTTTACAGAATGTTTATTGAAACATATTTTTCCAGCATACACAAATTGTGGATACAATAAAACACATCTTAACGTATAAACAGGTTTACATTTACATGATCACTGCAAGCCTTTGGAATATGCACTTGACCCTACATGCGGACAAAATGACTGCAAACGATTTGCTACAAAAGGAAGGGTTTTACTAATCTAGGCCAACGTAGCCTAGATTAGAAATTAGCAGATTTAGCACATTTTCTGCATTTGACCTATTTTGGCCTAAAACACGCTGTTCCCTCGTCAATCCTCCACGATGCCTAGTTTAGTGAGTAAACCCTTTCTTCAAAGTGTGGCGTTTGCAGCAGGGTCTTCGTCAAGTGAAGAAGTTTGCAAGAACAGTTAGAACAGAGTTAATACTTATATTATTTTTTTAATTTATTTTTTCACTGATGATTGATATTTAACTCTGACCGAGACAGATTTAGAGTTGAGAAATATATTTCTTTAAATCCCTACAAAATCAAAGAAATGGCTGGCAATGTATAACTCATTGATGTATCCATGAGATCAGCTTTATCCTGTTTTGGCTTGGCAGGCCATACCTTAAAAGTATGGTGACCCATTTTAATGACTGTTCATAGCTCCTCCTTACATGCCGTCTCACATATTCATATTACCCATATTCTGAAACTCAAACGTTGACCCCCAACCTGTCACAAAAATTGAGACAAAGTGTCAACTAATGTCCTGACTCGTGAGGATCTCGAACCCCATCAAGGTAGTGTGATGCAGCCATTATTGTGTGTGTATATATATAATATATATTATTATTTTTATTTTATGCCAATAATCCATCCTAAGAAGTTTGTTTTAAGTGTGGCATTGATTGCGTTGACTATTTTATTATCTGCCATCCATGCTAACATACATACAGTCAGATTGTGCGTTAATAAAGCAGTAAGAAAGAAAGGGGGACACAGGGCAATGTGGGGGTACATACATTAGGAACATTTAGCTGTTTTTGGTATGATTAGGCTGTGCCATAATAGCGTCTATAAGCCTCCTGGAATCCTATGTGATCGGCCAGCTCATCGCAGGCGGGGTTCAGCTCGCAGACCTCCCGCTTAGCTTCTAGTGGTGACCTCACAGCGTGGTGCAACCTGTGGATGGCATGACATCCCTGAGACAGCAGGTAGGTGGAAACATCATACATAGACTATCTGCATTCCTGGGCACTGTCTACAAGGGCAGTTGTGGTGCAAAAAGTGTTTTAATACCTGTCCTTCTAAAAATCCCAGTTCAAAGTAGATTTACTTATTATTGACCAGGGTTGTAATTTTATAGGGGATTTTTTCTCCCAATACATATAATTTCATGGTGTAGGGACACTATAGTCCCCAAAACAACTTATGATCGTGCTACTGAAGTTTCACAGCTCAATTATCTGCCATTTAGAAGGTAAATCCCTTTTCTATGCACCCTAGTCACACCTCCCTGCATGTGACTTACACGGCCTTTCTAAACACTTCCTGTAAGGAGTCATCTAATGTTTAAATTTCCTTTATTGCAAACTCTGTTTTAATTTAGAATTTCGTATCTCTTACTCTGTTAATAGCTTGCTAGACCCTGCAGGTGCCTCCTGTATGTAATAAAAGTTAATTTTTCAGAGCAGGAGATAAAAACTTTTAAAGATTGACAGTGAAACCATTTTGTTTTCATGCAGGCTGTGTCAGTCACAGCCAGGGGAGGTGTGGCTAGGGCTGTATTAATAAACCTCTTTAATTCCATACTCCCTTTTATACAGAATACAAAAAAGATGGTGAGCCTATTTGGAAAGTAATGGAAGGGGTTAAATAGACACCTTTTTAAAGCACATATACTTGCCATCTGGCAACTATATATTGATCTACACCAACTGTATCTACTGAAATGCACCTGCGGCTAGAAAATATAAAGAATTTAAGCTTTATTCAAGCAGAGATATAATTTGGTAATAAAGGCACAATTCCTTAAATGTGATATATAGGGCACCATGAAGTTTAGAGTATGTTGTACACCTCTCTGGATCTCAGAAGGTTAAGAGATCATTTAACCAATTCAGCGAATACATGAAAGGGTGGGGATGGAGATATTTACTTACAAGTTGTGAATATTGCTCTGTCTATTTCTCTGTGCAAAGTTAGCCGATTCTTGTCTGGAGATAAAAGCTATGAAGAGAGGGAGACATATGAGGTGTTAGGAAGCAATTCAGCTTATTGGCAATTGGTACGGAAACAGAGAATATTTTACAAATGGACAATATTGTATTTTAGGAATAAAGAAGAAATAATCATTTTTTCCTACCGTCAGAGCTGCGAGAATCAGCCACACTTTCAGAATTATCTCGATCTACAAAATACATAAAAAGATAATATATCAAATTACGCATTATACAGACTCTCAATCAGAGAATCCTAGCCTTTAGCACACCAGATGTTTGAGAACCATTTGTCATGATGTCCTACTAACGTAGAGGCTGGGAGGATGTCAAGATTAACTATAACTGCTTGATATAACACAGTTCTGAACAACAAGCTAACAAGATTCTAATACATTCTGATCCTTCTGGCTACAAAGAAAACTTATCAATAAAAAAAAAGCATAACAAAAATCTAAGTGGGCACAAACTAAGGCTTGTCTTTTTTGGACTGTCTTCTGTAATATGAACATTTTAACTAAAATCCTTTACTAAGTCAAGATTTGATATTTATTATGTTCAACCAAGAGACCTCCAATCAATATGGGGAACATGGCTGATGACCTTAAATTTCTTAACTATTTTAGCACATATAGACTGATCCCCAAATATCACTAATTTGTACAGCTGAGCTAAAATAAAAGTTGAGTTTGAGAATTTTCTATCTTTTATATTTTGTCATAAAATTAGCACATTTCTAAACCATCACATTTTAAACAGCATATTTGGAGGTTATAAGTTCTTTTCCTTACCTCTGCGTCCCATGCACAGTGCAGTCATTCCCAGTAGGGCAATAAGGATTGCAAGCTTCATGGTCAAGTCGATTTGTCGTTCTTTATCTTCTGAGGTTTTCGTATCTCTTCCTCGTCCTGAGATTATCTCCAGCTTCTGAATGGTCATCAATATATACCCAGCTTCTTGGCTGACACAAGACGGCGGCCTCATTTCCCCCATGAGGGAGGAGGGCTAAGGCTTCACGCCAAGGGTTTGTGGCACCTACAGATTCCAGACACATGCTCCTAAACAAAATGAGGTCGTTCTGCATCAATTTGAACATAGAGTTTGCTTCTGAAAATAGACGGTTATCATTCCTGGCCAAAACAGCTGGGAATAAACTTCTTTAAATGCTTGAGGGCACTGCCTAACTTACGTTACCCTTTAAATGCCAGAGCTTTAGGCAAAGCTAAAGCCATAACAAAGGTGTTTATTCCTTAAACTATTTAACACAGAATTGGGACCAAAAAGTTACATAGTTACATAGCTGAAAAGAGACTTGCATCCATCAAGTTCAGCCTTCCTAGTTGCACCTCAATACAGTTGTAGATAGTCACATTTGAATGAGAGGTCACCAATTCAATTTTACAGTTGAAAAAAAGATCACTAAATTAATGCATTTAAAAAAATTGGGGCACAGTCCAAATAAGACTTGTGTATTCGGATTGCGGACAATATATATCCAAATCATGAATGACCGAATAGCAATTCTAAAGAGGCAAACGAAGAACAAATAGCATGTCGGACGAAGATTCATCAAATACAATTCATCCATTCATTAAAGCGGATCTGTCACCATCTCTGGACTTTGCATGACTTGCAAAGACCCCTGATTACATCATTACTAGGGGTCCGGTGTGGGGGCAGGGAAAGGTTTCTTTTACTTACCTAAATCTGTCCCTTGCGGGCACGGGGATCGTTTTCCTGCTTTACTAGCAGTTCGTCTTCCTGCTTTACTAGCAGTTACCCTGTTCTCCATCAGAGACATTTGAAGGTTAAATGTCACTTGCCAGTCGGTAGACTGTATAATCCTATGTTGGGAAGACAGTCTTTAGTCCTATAGAATTAGATTCCGCTCATTGTTGCTCTCTTTCACCACTTGTTATTAACACAAAACCTATCTATACAGCTGACAGGCCCAATGTAGGATGTGGCATTTGGCAGACGTTAAATCTTAAGGTTCAACAACTCAGGGCATCCGTTTACCAAGCAATTTATGTCAAACATTTAGGGGTTTTCAAGGGACTGCCCCGCTGCAACCAACGCGTTTTGGAGAGTGCCAGAGATACTTTAATCATCTGCATTATAATTTACAGCATTTAAAATCTATACAAAGCAGAGGCAGAAAATAAGTATTGACCAGCTTCTCATTAAGTTCTGTTTTAATTAGAGGAACAATCACTGTAGAAGGAAATGAAAGAGCATATATATATATATATTTAAAAATCAAACTATTTTCTACTTTGGCTAACATTTTTCCCAAATCTGGTCATACCTACAGCTTAGTCAATAAAACCTGTTATGTTCTATTTAAACCGTTATAATGCTATTTTAATCAAACATAGTTTGGTAGCAAATAACAGATGGGCTACAGAACATATAAGTTTAAAATACTCTATTAAAATCAGGTTATAAGAGGTCGCTTTGGCCAGAATTCCTGGTCACATTTGTGCCTCCCATACCTATGTGTTTTACAGAGTTACAGTCTTATTGCTAGATCAACATTTTGAGGGTACGTATTGCTGGCTTTGATCCTGGCTCAATGCCTTGATTGGATAATGAGCATTTAAGATTTAAGCCACCGGCAGTCCTTTCGTCCGGATCCGTAAACCACACAGCTGGCCTATGTTATCAGGAGGGAAAAGAGTTCGCAGAAGACCACAAGAGCCCAATTCAGGCCAGGATTCCAGTCCGATTCCAAGCCCACAGCATGTTTGTTTATATAATCTGCAGAAAAGCATCTCTATATTTAAATATTGGTGAAGGAAATACTGAACTTGGTAACCTTGTTTTAACCGTGACTTTACTAGACAAGGATTAAAGGGCAATGATGCATCTTATATCAGAACATGTAATGGGATTTTTATCAGACCACAAAAACCATTTAAAACAACACAATAAAACAATATTTCTTTATTTACTGGTTGTACAATCAATTGCATAGAAGACTTGGATTGAGACCGATGCTAATTTAATTTTAACATATCAATGGGTGATTGGAAACAATAATTTGCATGAAATGCCTTTCTATGCCTTTTGGGGAGGAACATAAACAAAAAAGGAGGAGTTGAGATATGAGTTTTTTTTTTTTTTTATTTGCATGAAAATCCCCTAGACACGAAGGGTCTTATGGGTATTAATAGTAGACACAGGAGGCCCCCGGTTATGCTAAATCAACCGGCAACACCTATAACATTTTGTAACTTATTCTAATAAACTGGAATAATACTGAATGAACGATAAAAAAAATGATAGCATGCGTTATGGAAGCACAAACAGAAAAGAAGCACATGCCTTGTGAAGGCTTCAGGGATTAATTGAAGCATACTGGCAGGAATCCCAGTCCCAGCTCATCCATTGCCCCTCCAAGGTAGATCATAGTCCAGCTGCTGCGAGTCCATAACTATGGAACAATGCTCCAGGCCTTGGAGCCAAAGTGCACGCCGGCAGTGCTGAACACATAGAAGGGACAGGTAGCCTTTTAGACCTAACTGTGGTCATGTGCACCATCCTCTGCGCCACTTTGAGTATGAGATCTCCTCCGCTGGCTTCTTCGCCACAGTGGGGCTTATGTCAATGGTCTCACCGATGAGTCCTGATGGGGGTCTGGAGCAGGTCAGGTATGGAAGTTGGCAGTGGTGGGGCATGTTTGCGTTTTCTGATTTCCAACTGCTGCCGGAGGTCGTAAAAGAGCTTATCCAGCCTTGACTCTATATCCAGATGTACAGCCAGGGGTTGGGGAGACACGTGGTCTCCGCCATACTGGGTGAGTCGCAGATGAGTTTGTCAGCTTTAATAGGTAGCCTCGCAGGAGTGGACCGGTTTCACCCGTGCGGGTCCATTGGGGAGGGGTAACTAAGTGCTTGCCGGAATGTAACTGCTTCTGGGTACCCCCGGATTTGAAGATCGGCCACTTCTCCTATCCGGAGGGCACCAGGCCACATCTGCCACGGTGAGATGAAGGAACTCCTGACCCGTCGCTGACTGACACTCAACATTACAGGTTGGTCGGGAAGCAACAACTTTGCTGGATTTGTCCCTATGCAGGCTAAATGAGCTTACTGGTATAGTGGAGGAGCTCACATACTATTCGTCAGTCCCCGGCCCCTTCCTGATATATGGAATGTTATATATTCTCCTTTTATTAACAAACAAGAGAGAAGAGTCAGCTCTATGCCTCAAAGCCGAGAGAAGGAAACTGTATGCACCAAAATAAATTTAGCTTAATAAAGCAGTTTTAGTGTATCGATCATGCCCCTGCTGTCTCACTGCTCAATTCTCTGCCATTTAGGAGTTAAATCACTTTTGCTTCTGTTTATGCAGCCCTAGCCACACCACCTCTGGCTATGATCCACACTGCCAACATGAAACAAATGTCTTCATTTTCAATCAAATCACACAAATGAGGCTCCTGCATGCGCTATCAATAGATGGGAAATAAGGTAAGCTAAAAAAATGTAGTGTAATGCAAAGTGAATTAATGGTTCTTTGTGTGTAAATATATTTTAAACAATATCATTTTAAATACTTTAGCAGCAATCTTACATACTGCAAAGACCCATAAAACACACACTATTCTACAAATATAACATTTTGATGCGCTATACCTATAAAATAAATAAGACCCTTGATAGTGATTGTAACCAGTTTATGAAAATATATTTCAAAAATGCAAATTTATTTAAAAAAATGTGCAAATGCATCAAAGTATTTAGTGATGGTGATCACTCTAATGAGAAGAAAAAAAATCACAGAAAATGCTTAAAGGGACACTAAGCATCCAGATCACTTCAGCTAATTGAAGTGGTCTAGGTGCTGTGACCCCTTTGCACTCAGTGCTGCAAAGTGAAATATTGCAGTTCCAGAGAACTCAATGTTTACACTGCAGCTCTTAATCTGCCCTTTGTGGCTGTCTACCAGACAGCCACTAGAGGCTTTCCGGAATCCAAACGGACTTCTGGTCGGTTATCTGACACCGGACATCCGTGAGGACGTCCAGCGTCAGATTTTCCCAATAGGAAAGCATTGAATATTGCTTTCCTATGGAGAGGTCGAATGTGCGCGCGGACATTGCCACACATGCGCATTAGGTCTCCCCTGCCGGATGACAGTGGGGGAGAAGCATGGGCAAAGCCTGACCCAGCGCCGAGGGACATCGCTGCTGGATTCAGGTAAGTGGCTGAAGGGTTTTTAACGCCTTCAGCCCTGTGGGAGAGGAGGGCCCTATTAACCCTATAGTGCCAGGAAAACTGCCTTGTTTTCCTGGCACTATAGGATCCCTTTAAGGGAGGATCACTATAGAAAATGCTTATGGAGCGAATAGTCAATAAAAAATATCCCCCCTCCCCCCCCAAACCAGTAAACCGTGTAAAACTGTATATAATGAGGGGGTGGGGGGAGGATTCCATATCGCTCATGAACGAGGAGCAGTTATGTCTGCTCATAACAATGGATCTCCTCTGTGGTAGTAGAAGTAGAATGTCCACAAACAATTTGTAGGCAATAGCCTTTATTATAACTTTGTAAAAACAGGACAGCTACTGGGAATAATTCACTAAATCAAGTGTCTTTCATATTTAAAAAGTTTAGAACACTTTAAATTTTATATATATATATTTTAAAGGTTTAGACTTTTTGTTTTCAAGAAGTGTGCAGGGAGGCTGTGTGAATCTCAGCCAAGGGAGGTGCGACTAGGGCTGCACAAACAAAGTGATTTAATGCCTAAATGGAAGAGAATTGAGCAGTGAAATCTATATATCTAAAATGCTTCATCAAGCTACAGTTGTTTTGGTGCTTAGCGTGTCCCTCTCAATGTTCACGCACAGCACTTTTAAAACGGCGAGTGGGCCCTATGAATGCAGCACCATTTCCATGGCTTATGTTAAAAACCATCAGAGAAAGCAGGAGCAGTACAAGGATCGTGAAAGCAAATTAACTTTTATTAACAGTAAAAAACATTTTAGATATAAATAAGATATCCAGCACTTTGTCAAGCAGTTTCCGTTGGTCACACCAATATCTGAATATTGCAAAGATTAGCATGTTAGTCTGTCCAGCTGGAAGTAATGTGGAGTAGTGCACTTGGTAAGAGCAATCGTTCCTTACTAAAAGTCCTTCGTGCCATGAATGTCCTCACTTGGGGGTTTGAATAGACAAAATCATCTCTCTCTGTACTTTACTCAACTCCTAAAATAGAAACAACATTGAATAGAGATTAATAAGACCTTTTTATTGTTTAATAAACCCTTAGAACACTTAATTCAGGAAAACTGTACTAACACACAAAAAAAAACCTCTCTATTCAGGAAGTCTGTATTTTCCAGCAGACTAATTCATTCCTTCCTATTTGATCACTGACTGAGATATAAAGCCATGCTCTATTAGGAATGCCTGCTTTGTGTTTCCAGCCATTTAAAATACAACTTTCATTTAAATTGAGAACTATATTTTCTGTGTTTCTGCAGCTCTAAAAGGAAGACAGTTTACTACAGTAGTAAAACGCAGAAAAGAAAAGCAGTTGTAGAACAAAAATGTATTCCAGAGTTAAAAACAACCTCCCCCCTCCAATATAGTAAAATCTTACTTTTATTCCAGTCTGCTGCTGGCTCTGCTCCTGATCTGCCTTCTTTGCTGACATCATCAGAAGTGGTGATAAAAACCCAATCACATGCTATCCTATAGAAAAGCATAGGATTGGCTGAGCTTGTCAAGGATCAGGGGCAGAGCCGGCACAAGTCAAACACAGCCCTGGCCAATAAGCATCTCATCATAAAAATGCATTGAATCATTGTATCCCTATGAGGAAAGTTCGGTGTCTCCATGCAGGGGGTGCAGACACTGAATGTCAGTCACACTGTGCAGCACTAGCCCAGGAAGCTCCTTTAGTAGCCATCTAAGGAGTGGCCAGTGGAGTTATCCCTAGGCTGTAATGTAAACACTGCATTTTCTCAGAAAAAAAAAATATATCGTGTTTACAGACAAAAGCCTGAAGGTAATGATTCTACTCATCAGAACAAATGCAATAAGCTGTAATTTGTTGTTCTTTTTGGTGTGTTCTGGTGACTATAGTGTCCTTTTAAGGCACTTACTCTTTAAAGGGCATCAAATTTTCACTTCTTGCTTTCTAAACGATTACATTAGAGTAAACTTTATTTATTTTTAAATTATGTATCTGTTCTCTGACCAACTGCTGTGATTGCAATTTGACACTACAGCAGCAGCAAGTTAGGATGAGCAGCAATTGATCAGATAATTGCCTGGTCTAGTATTGTACTTTTAACTGCAATGGTCCTGCCTCTTCCCTCACCTGCCAAGCCTGCTGCCTCCTCTCGATCTCCTTCTGCATCTGTTCTATCCTCTTTCTCCCCGCAAGCACAGATTGAGACAACTTGGCATTCTCCTCGATCTGTTCCTTTAAAATCTTCCGCAGGTATTCTCTCTGCTGCAGGAGGTATGGCACCAGGTGGCTGCGTAGATCCTCCTCTGGCACCCCGCTAGGTCGCCTGTGAAATATACAGAAAATTCAGGACTCCTCACACCGAAAGGGCAAGTCATGTCTTACCACTTGCTTTAAAGCATCACTCCTATCTGCTCCCATTTCGCTCAATATTGTAATTAAATGTCCATACCACACCAATTCCTCTTTCCAATGACAACTTAGCGAATAGTTCAGTCTTCTGTATAAATTGCCCATTTCCCTACCCAAAAAAAGTCACTAATTTCTGTGTATTTAAATGTATTTTATAGGGAATGTTTTAATCGGTGAGATAGTGAATCCTTTAGGCTTTATGGAATGCAAACTGGACCAAACTTGTAAAACTCATTTTTCCTGTCACTGTATGTACTGCAAGCTATATAAATAAATAAAAACAGTCTAACGGTTTCTTTCTGGCAGATCAAGTCAGTCGTAGCTTCATCATTAAATTACAACTACCAGTTTTATATATTTTAATAGGAGTTTAGTGTTCTAGCTCGAATATTCAGTTTTTGGTGTCCAGGGCTGCAGGGAAAGGCAAATTTTACTTGCCTGAACCTGTACCTTGTGGCCACTGCATTGGTCCTTTTTAGCTCCTGGTGCTTCATCTGGCAGGAGCCAACGTCCGTGCTGCACTCTTGTGCATGCACAACAGTACAACACTTAAGTCTATGGAGGATCCCATGAGACCTTCCACTGGCAGAGCCTTTTTCCCCTCAGCCATTGGGGAAGAAGGGGGGGTTTAAGGGTGTTTTTTTTCCCCCTCTGCTTCTTCTTCTTTTCTTATAAAAGCAACAAAAAACTCTAAGTGTTTTTATTTGAACTTTGACATCACCATATGAAGAACACCGTATTATTATTATTATTATTGTTGTAACAGCGTTCATCTAAATAAAAATATATATTTTTTTTAATGTAATTCTTTATTTCGGACAGCCAGTCAAGCAATTAATTACACATGGCTTGATCGCCACATATAGTACCTATTTTACAATTTTGTAACAGTATGAAGAACAAATCATAACATTGATCACAGATTACACAGTTATCTGTGCAAGACATTAGTTCGCTGTAGGCAAAACATTACATTAGTCTTCCTGTTCTCTAACATGGCCTTTGGTAAGCCATATAAAACACTGGAAAGTCTGATAGGGCATTACTGTTTGAGGCAGTGAGCTCATTATACCCTCCACCATGTCCTCTAAATGAAAAAAAGATACAGAACCTAAAATTAAACTCATTGGAACTGGGGGGAAAAAAAAATCCACCCGTGTGGATGGAATTACCATCCTACATAAAAGAATAAGACCGACCCATGTTTCAAAAAAAAAAAAGGGCTCTGTGCGGCTTTCTGTCCATCCTTACTACTTAAGGCTAAATCTCTCTGTATACTGATTAAGGGCTATTGGGTGGAGGGGATGAGCCTGGGAGGATTCTGCAAAAAACACCAATTCTGAATTTCAATACAAATGTTTCATTGGGGAGGGGAGGGTGTAAGAGGTAAATCACAATCTTTTACTCATTGTAGATACAAATTGATCAGTTCATAATACAACCTAGTGTGGGATTTACATATCATTTATAGGCTGAATGGACTTATTTGAACTTATCATGTAAATGTAATTCTTCTCCCTCAAGCAGACTTCACCAGGACACCCCCGGCCCCTAAAGCTCAAATTGCTGGAGTTTGTCCTCCTCTTTTTATTTTATAAAAAGTGCAGATTAAACTGGAGCTGAGGACTGTGACCTTGGGAGGGTGTCCGGTGCCGCTGGGGGGGTGGGAGTTGGGGGGGGCCTGTGGGTCTTGGGGGGTGGGGGGGGGGTTCTGGCCCGCATGGTAAGCCCGGAAGGGGATCATATAAGAGTTGGAGGGGGCACGGGGTGTGCTTACGATGCAGAAATTGGGTCCCTCCTGGGTCATAGACCTATCCACAAGGCTCTCACACAATTAGTCTGACATATTGCCCTCACCTTCACAGTATTCGGTTACGGGGATTACACTTCCTGGTAGGGCGGTGACGGCCATGGACGGCTGAGGATACCACAGTACCACACACGACAAGATAACGTACCCTTGACTACAGACACGCCCCACGGGCAGACGCACACCTGTACAGACACCTACGGTGCGACCTGGGGACGACTGTCGACAGTTGGACCGACCCCCCAGGTACACACCAAGTGCGTCGAGCCAATACCGGCACCACACACCTAGGACGAGGTGCGGGGACGGGGGTGGGTGAGACAGGGGACCTGGGGCTGACTCCTGGTTGCGGGACCTGACCTACACCGGGACCTGACTCCTGACTGGCCCTCCCTCTCAGATCCCACCCCTCTCTCTTTCTTTTACTCCCTCTCTTTCTCTACTACGTTCTTCACCCTTTCCCTCTACGCTCCTCCTTACAGCTACCGGTTTAACCTCCCCCCCACGCCCCATATCCAAGGACGATGGCAGGTCACTTTCAGCAGGCGGATCTCTGCTTGTGGTCGAACAACGTTAGGGGCCTTAACGCCCCGGAACGGCGCTCACACCTTCTCCGCACCCTGTGGGCGGCACGCGCGTCTCTGGCATTCGTCCAGGAAACTCACTTCCAGGGGCGAAATGCACCGACGCTGCGAGACACCCGCTTCCCGACGGGATACTTTGCCAACCACCCACATGCCAAAAAGTCGGGGGTGGCAATTCTCATCGCCCGCACAGTGCCTTTCCAAAGCCAAGCTGAGCTGGCGGACCCAGAAGGCCGCTATATATTCGTGAAAGGCACGATTGCCGGACATCAGTATACCCTGGCATGTGTCTATGCACCCAATACGGCACAGCACCACTTCCTGACACGCACCTTACATGCCCTGGACCGCTTCAGAGAGGGCCTGCTGATCCTGGCGGGGGATCTTAACCTAGCCCTGGACCCACGGCTAGACACCTCCTTAGGAACTAGCTCACTACCGGCTTCCTACCAACGCAAGGCCCTGGTGGCCCTCAAGAACGCGGGGTTGGCGGATTCGTGGCGAGTGGTTCACCCACAGAGGAGGGACTACTCCTACTACTCTACGGTCCACAGTCGCTACAGTCGGTTGGACTATATCTTCCTCCCCATTGAATACCTCTCGCTCTTGCACTCCAGTGGGATCCACACGGCAACCTGGTCGGACCATGCTCCGGTCTGGACTAAGATCGCCTCCCCGCTGTACAGGCCACGGGAGAGGCAGTGGCGGCTCAACGAGCAGGTCTTGGAGGAATTGGAGGCGACAGTGGAGATGGGTGACGCACTGCAGAAGTACTTTGAGGAGAACACCACCCCAGACGTGGAACCACCGATGATATGGGAGGCTCATAAATGTATGATCCGCGGCCATCTCATACGTTATTGTACCCAACGGAAGACGGCCCAAAGGCAAGCAGTCACGGACCTGGCACAACAAGTGGCAACCCTCGAAACTTTACATAAATCTACCCTCTCAGAGGATACCTACAGAGAACTCCTGGAGGCGCGGAGAAACCTCAAGCAATTGCTCTCGCAGGGCCTTCTCCGAACCATTCGCAGATCCCGACGACACTTCTATGAATACTCGGACAAATGCGGGAGGCTCCTGGCCAGGCGCCTGCAAAGGGAACGGAGACTCACACACATAACCAAGATCCGGGACCAGACTGGCGTGCTCACTCAACGCCCAGACGGAATAGCGACGGCCTTCCACCACTTCTACACGGACTTATATAACATCCCAGAAACGCGAGGAGCAGCAGCCCGGAAGAGGCGTGAAACCGATATCGCGCACTACCTGGAACAACATATCTCACGGACTCTCACGGACGACCAAAGGGCTGACATGGAGGAACCCATTTCCCTGGAGGAACTCAAATATGCTCTTAAGATCGCCAGAGCCCACAGGGCGCCAGGCCCTGACGGCCTCCCCGCGGCATATTATAAAAAGTTTCAAGACATCCTGCTGCCACACCTCCTGGGAACCCTGAATCACCTACTAGAAGGCGGCCACCTCCCGAGAGATACACTGGCTGCCACTATCTCTCTTATCCCAAAAGACGGAAAGGACCTGACGAACTGTTCTAGTTATAGGCCGATCTCCTTACTCAACTCTGACTTGAAACTGTTCACTAAAATACTGGCCCTACGGGTGGGGCGCGTACTGCCAGACCTGGTGCACCCGGATCAAGTGGGATTCATCCCAGGCAGGGAGGCACGCGACAACACCATCAGGGCCCTCAACGTGATCCACCTGGCGGGGAGCAGCCGGAGGGGGGTCCTCCTCCTCTCGACCGACGCCGAGAAGGCGTTCGATCGGGTGGACTGGGGGTTCATGCTGGCAACGCTCCGTACGATGGGATTCGGGCCCCATATGATGACCTGGATAGCTGCCCTTTATACGACACCAACAGCCCGTATGCGCATCAATGGGGCCCTAACACAGCCACTCAACATCCGTAACGGCACAAGACAGGGGTGCCCGCTGTCCCCCCTCCTGTTTGCCCTCTCCCTGGAACCATTCCTGGGGGCGGTCAGACGGGATGGGGGAATCGCGGGCTTCGCCTATAAAGGTCTGGAGCAGAGAGTCGCGGCATACGCGGATGATCTCCTCTTCTTTCTGGCCAACCCACTCATCTCTCTCCCGAACCTACTAGCAAGGTTCCGGGAGTACGGCCTGCTCTCCAACCTTAAACTCAATGCTGAGAAGTCGGAAGCCTGCCCTTTAAACCTAACTACCGCAGACACGACTCACCTACGGACACAGTACCCATTTAAGTGGTGTGCGGATAAGCTCAAATACCTTGGCATATGGCTCAACGGAGACACGAAGCGCCTATTCCAGGAGAATTTTGTCCCCATTCTCCGCACACTACAGCACGACATGACGACTTGGGGCGGCCTGTGCATTTCATGGTTCGGGAGAATCAATGCCTTAAAACTAAACCTTCTTCCGCGGCTTCTTTACCTCTTCCAGACCGTTCCAATTATGATACCCAGGACCTTCTTTCAGACGCTGAATACGGCGATGATAAAATTTGTGTGGAAGACGGGACGACCTAGGGTTAACGGGGCGCTCCTGTCGCTGCCCAAGAGGATGGGGGGCTTAGCCCTCCCTTCACTAGTCCATTACTACAGGGCCACCCACCTGCTTCGGCTGGTGGACTGGCACACACTAAACTCAGACAAGCTATGGAGGGAACTAGAGAACGTACAAGTGGATCGAAGGCTGCCAGCCGCGATATGGACAGCGCACCCCCTAAAGGACCCTAGAATGACCCACAACCCGTTTATCAGGGCCACGACGCAGGTTTGGACTGCCACTCGCCTGAAGGACGGCCTCACTACAACGCCGGGTCCTCTGACCTCTATTACCCATAACCCAGATATCGCTGACGGACTACGACCGGGGGTTGTTGGGACTCGGGGACCCGGACTGGACGTACATGAAACAGCTATGCGCCGCAACGGGACTGAAAACACTGAGGGAACTGATCCCAGACGGCACCATCTCTCTAATGACCAGGTTCTGCCATCATCAGATTCAGCATTTCTACCGAACCACGGTGGGCAAACATTTATTTCATAGAGACCTAACCACTTTTGAGCACATGTGTGCGGCCAGGGATCGACCACTGAAAGGAATCACACGACTCTACACCCTATTGCTTACCGCCACACCACGCGCACCACCACGATATATGTCCCGCTGGGAACAAGCGACAGACCAAACACTGACGGACCAACAATGGGAGAAGATCCACGTGCTAACACACCAAGGCACGCTCAGTTCAAAACTGCAGGAACTTAACTACAAGATTATGGTCAACTGGTATAGAACCCCAGCGAAACTACATTGCATGAACCGAGAAACCCCTGACGTTTGCTGGAGGTGCGGAGCCGAGGGTGGGTCAGACTACCATATATGGTGGTCGTGCCCTACAATTCAGCAGTACTGGAAGCAAATTCATTCTAAAATTCAAAGCATCGCGGACCCGGACCTACCGTTCCAGCCCTTGCCGATGCTACTCCACCACACCACACGCCCTATAGCTACATACAAACGCTCCCTGACCAAACACCTACTAAATGCGGCAAAATCCCTCATCCCCACCAAATGGCGCGCGACGGAGTCACCGTCGATGGAGCAATGGATGGAACGTGTGGAGGACATCTACAGTATGGAATCCCTCTCGGCATCACTACACGGCACGGGAGACAAATGTGCTATCACCTGGCTCCCTTGGTGCACCTACATAGCCCAGAGAGGAACTGCAGGAACGGCTGCCACTGGGTAGCGGAGAACCAGGGAAGCTCTAGATCCGCCCCTCCAGTGATCATATGAGATACAGGAGTCCGCCTACCAGCCTCCCCTCCCCCCCCCCTCCTCCTCTCTTCTCTCTTCCTTTCCCACTGCACACCTTTTTCTTTCCCCCCAGTCAGGAGGTCATTGGCAGGACTTTGATGGTCAGGGGATAGGGGGAACCCATGGCCCGGACAGGTGGTCGGGGGTGGGGCCTGGGAGGGGGGGGACACTTTGGAGGTGGACAGCTCCTGGAGCCAAACCCTGGGTGGGGAATACAGTCAGGTCCAACGGGGGGGACAGGCGGACATCCCACACTGAGTACCCTGACCAACTCGACGAGCATGCAACCATAGCAAACTGGACGCGACGGACAGGGAGTTGACACACCCCACCCAGCACCAGTACACCAGCGGCTTCCCATGACTGTCCACCAGCTCGGCCCCTTAACTAGAGGTCACCCCCCCTAACCGGACGAACCAGAGAGAATCCCCACCAAGACACCGAACTGAACCCTGACTTGCGCTGATCAACACACTCCAACTATGTACATAGCATACACTCTTGCACACACATGAGAAACCAAGAGACAAGAAGAGCGTTCTACCAGGTTGACAGCCCAAAACTAAATGCCTCATCTCACGAAGGCGCTCATGGAGGGCTTGACACAGTTCACTAAAAGTTGCTTGTTACTATTGTTTTCTACCCAAGGTAATTGACGAGAGCATTGATATGGGAGGAATGTAAAACCTTGATTGTTATCCTTCTTTCCCTCTGTTTCCCACGTACTTTATTATCTCAATAAAAATTGATTGGATAAAAAAAAAAAAAAAGTGCAGATTAAAGGAAAGGATTGTACAGCAAATGCTGATGCCAATCATTGATTATAGGGATGTAGTATAGGCACCTGCACCGCAAATCCACCTTAAAAGGACCACTATAGTGCCAGGAAAACAAACTCTTTTTCCTGGCACTATAGTCCCCTGAGGGTGCCCCCACCCTCAGGGTCCCACTCCCGCCGGGCTGAAGGGGGAGGAAGGGAGTTAAACACTCACCTTTCTCCAACGCCAGGCTCCCTCGGCGCTGGGGACTCTCCTCTTCCTTTGGCCATCATCGGCTGAATGCGCATGCACGGCAAGAGCCGCGCACACATTCAGCCAGTCCATAGGAAAGCAAGCATTTTCAATGCTTTCCTATGGACGCTGGCGTCTTCTCACTGTGAAAATCACAGTGAGAAGCGCGGAAGAAGTGCCTCTAGCGACTCTCAATGAGACAGCCACTAGAGTTTCTCTGAAACTGCTGTGTTTACAGCAGGCAGGGTTAATCCTAGATGGACCTGGCACCCAGACCACTTCATTGAGCTGAAGTGGTCTGGGTGCCTATAGTGGTCCTTTAATAAAGTCAATACATTGTATAACTCGTTCTGTTGACTTGTGCTACAATGTAATTACAGGACCCACCATTGTGACATGCTAAATGAACTAAACAGGCTGTCGCTGGAATCCCGACGCACTCTTTATCTTTCCAGCCTTGTGTTTAAGAGCTTTTCTGGGAAGCTCCCACTCTACCTGAGCAGAATGCTCTCCTCGGCTGTTCCTACCTCTTATAACCTCCAATTAAGTACAAGCACTTTATTTAGTTTACCTCAATACAAAAAGAAAGCGGCCCAATCCTCCTTTTCCTACAGAGCACCGCAATTATGGAACGACCTCCCGCCAGCCTAAAATCCCACTCTACATATCTCAAAACATAATGCACCTGTCATGATTTATTATATATTTCTTACCTATTCTATGATACATTTTGTATATATGTTGTGTATTAATATTGGTTATGTGTTTTATGGTACCAATGCAGGTAAAATTCCTTGTAAAATATTATATAAATAAAATAAATATTTTTTTCTTTCTTTCATTTGGGACGTGAAGTGTCACTTTAACTCACCACTCGAGATCTGTCCTGCCCCCAGCCTCCGTTTCCAGGTTATCCAAGGAGTCAAGCAGCGCCTCCAGATTCCCTTCTTCTTTTAATTCTTGTATTTCATCCTAGAGGAAACAAACTATGAATTTCTATTTTGGAAAATGTGACTTTATAATTCCCCACTGGCCTCAACTGTGCAAACATTAGAGCAATTATAAAAAGGCGTAAAATCAGTGTGATACACAAGCACTAGGAATGGATATTGGTAACTATCTGTAATCAATGGAAAAATGAAACAAGTGAAGGTTTTTGGCAAAAAAGGGACACTATTAAAAGAACACAAACTTATTCCTGACCCTATAGAGTTAAAAACACCATCTAGCCCCACTAAATATAATACAATCTTACGTTTATTACAGTCTGCTGCTGCTGGCTCTGCACTGATCTGCCTGCTTGGCTGACCTCATCATAAGTGATTCTTTGAGTCAATTACAATGATGTCTTATAGGTTTGGCTGAGACTGACAAGGAGGCAGATCAGGGGCAGAGCCAGCATGATTCAAACACAGCCCTGGCCAATCAGCATCTCCTCATAGAGATTAGTTTAATCAGTGCATCTCTATGAGGAAAGTTTAGTGTCTCCATGCAGAGGGTGGAGACACAAAATGGCAGTCACACTGTGCAACACTGCTTTATAAGCCTTTCCTCGCCCTGCGGAGCCCTCACTGGATGAAGATGCATTTATATTTTAGTGTCTGGATTTTTGGAACAGCGAGTGAAGCAACATGAGAACACAGAGGAAAGGGTGAGTATTATGGGAAAATGTCTTTGACCACAGGAAATAAAGCTGGTTTACGCTCCTCCTTTGGTCAAAGACTATCAAGTGTAGGAAAAATACATAAGACAAGGTAGTCCCTACTTTGTCTTATGCTTTAAAAGAAAACAAGATCGAATAGGAAGAAAAGAAGAATCGATTGTGAGAGAGGAAGAGAAGCGGAAACAATAGGAGAAAGGTAAGTTCGGCGTGACAGTGCCGCTTTGAGCCAAGTTATGAAAGATTCTGCAAACATTCTAAAGCTCTATTTCTAGCTCCTCAGATAAGTGCAATTTATCTGATTTTATACATTTTCTTCATCTCTTTAATTAAATAGTTTCTTTAAATCCAATTGTTATCTTTTTCTATAGTTTCACTAGGTCTTATTATACTATTAATTTCATTGTATTTTTTAATTTTGACTGTTATTGTAGTAGATTTGGTTATTTTATTTTCCTCCGTTTCTTATTACCCATTACTTTTTTAGTTTTTTGGGATTAATTTTTTCTAGTTTTGCCTTTTATACATAATTCAGGAGTTTCCTTGGTTTCACGCCCAACAGTTGCGGTCGAGACCTGTTGACCATTTTGGCAAAGTTGCACGCATGTGCGATTAAGCCAGGCCTGCACAACCTGTGGCACACCAGATGTTTTGAACTACAACTCCCATGATCCCCTGGCTATCAGCCATGATTTCCTGGCTGTTTCATAAAAAAAAACATGGGCGTTGGCCGTTTTATTGAAAGAATCATAGGAATTGTAGTTCAAAAACATCTGTGGGGCCGCAGGTTGTGCAGGCCTGATTTAAACCTTTTTGTTGAAGACCGATTTTCTTTGTTGCCCTGACAGCCTAGCGGTGCTTGTTTTGTTGGCTGACTAAAAAATTGCTTCGGAGTTTAACTCTGATTACCTGAACTGGCGCCTGTGAGTTTTGAGGAGTTTATCTAGCAGGTCCTACAATTTATTCTATGGCTATTTATAGAAGCTTAATTTAAATCTCTTCTTCTTGTCAGAAACGTGTTATTGCTTATATCAGCATATTAATTTGATTTTTCCCTATTTTCTTTTTTTATCCCTCATCATAAATTAAAGTGCCTAAGACTAACAATTTAAACATCGCTGGTGCTAAATCTATCGTGCCATCTGCTGGCCAAAGTGAGGTTGAATATTCATCTGCTGTAATTTCTAAATGAAATAAATCACAATCTGTTCAGCCTACAACTGAGGACTTTGTTAATAAATCTTTTACACGGGCTATTTAGTCTGCTATGGATGTCATGTCTAAGACATTATCTAAGTCCATTACACAGGATATTTTTCAAACCCCTAACTCTCCTCACACTGATCATTTTTGGTTAATTCAATCCACCTCTGGGGACAATAATTGTTCACCAAAATTATTTGGTAAGAAAGCGTCTCATAAAATTTAAAACACTTAGACGCAATAACCTGAATACGCTCACCCCAGACTGTGTTTCTAAGAAACGCAAAGGAGCCATCCCTGTTGGGCAAAACATACGAGGAGTTAAAAGTGCGCTGGTCATATCACGAGAGTGTTTTAGACTCAGATTGCTGTACAAAGGAGGTTTTGCTGGGATTCAGATTATCTCCCAGAATCTGATCATTCTAATGACAGCCGAGAGGGTCTGCTCACATCAAAATCTATTACCAATGAAAGTATAAATAAGTCTCTGATGTTCGGGTTCTGAATATTGATCTGTGCTATTGTCTGTTATGCTTGAAGGAATATGAAGAACATACTAGTTCTCTTCTGTCACTGTTAAGTAAATCAAATTGAAACAATTTAGTGCTATATTTAAAATGATTAGGGCCTGAGGTGGGTACAAAGGAGAGTCCCCTACTTAAAATGTTGATCTCCGCACCACTAAGTGATCTGTGCAACAGGTTGAAAATGGGTGCTACTTCCTGAGAGGTGGCTTGCCCCGTGGCCCATCTTTTTCCCCTGCGCCCTTTCCAAGTTAAGAGCCTTCGTCGCCTCGTACCCGGCTCCTTGTAATTGTACCCACATCCGGGGTTCCTAAAAAAGTGGCAGCATCAGGTGGCGTTTCGTTCTCTGCCGATTCTCCAGATGTTACATCAATCGTGGAAACCTTCGGGCGAACTATTCTCTTGCGCTGACGCCTAGGTCTCGGTGGGCCATCTCTGGACAGCCGGATAATCTTGCTGGACCCTTTCGAACTTCTGTCTCTTCAACCGTATCAGTTCATTTTTTATTTCAAGAGCTCTGTCTTTAGTTGTTGCTGCAGCTTTAATCCATCTGTAGAGGCAAGTAATATGGCCTGTTCTGTCTCTAAATCCAAAATCTTTTTTTTAATGTCAACAAGGTCTGTTCGGACATCCTTGATAGTGATGAGCATAAGATCAAGTGAGGCCTTATGAAGGACACCTTTGTAGAAAATGATCAAGGTACTCCAATAGTTTCCAATTCATTTGGACCAGGAACTACAAAGTTATGAAGGACACCTGTCCAATCTCTGCATTCAGTGGCTATAACCCTTCCAATGGTTGGAATATTCAACAACCTAAAACCACGGGGAATCCTTTTTGCTTTATAATAAAACTTTTCTTGAGCAGACACAGTTATTTGGAATCTACATCCTTAGAAGTCACATGGTGTGGTAATTCCTGGCTAGTTTGTTCCCATAAAATGCCGGCAGCATCCTCCTGTGTGAATTGGAGGGTCTCAGCATGTTCTGTATAGACTCCAGCTTGTTCTAAAAATGTGTCCATTATCAAAGAAAGTGAGTCCAACTTATACAATGCTATATTCCCCCAATGGGAAATCAAAGGTAATCTCTGACAATAACGTGCAAGTGAAATGCGTATGGGGCCCCACTCTCCCACAATACAAATACAGTTTGCATAATTTGTTTACACATTTTACACTAGCACTTTAAGATACGCACAATTTTACACACCAGCACTTTTCATGCAACCCAGGTTGCTCTAGCTGCCTTAAAGGTACACAATTCTCCAACTTCAAGTGGGTAGTATTATATCACTTACGGGATATTTGTTAAATGGTCCTAAAACTATCCAGATTATTCTGTACATATCTGCACTTTTTTATAGAATCTATATTTTTTTCTCCCAACATTTATTTAGAATCCTGACATTTTACATCATATTGTTAGTTTTAAATTTGTCAATATTCTCACCACCTAAGCACTTTACACTCGCCCAGAGTAAGATATTTTACTGTATGTTTTATTATATAGTTAAACTTTATAATAGTCTTATGGTGTTAGGTTTCTTTGAGCACGGAGTACAGTTGCTGGGGTATCACCACTATTATTTATCAAGTATTTAAAGTGCCTTTTGTGACTGGAAACACAACTAAATTAATATATTGGGTCTCTTTTCATTGTCGACAAATCTGGGAGGCAGGTTACCTTAATGGATTTCTGCAACTGAGCTACAAACTGGTCGTAGATGCTCCGGGTTATTTCTGGTTGAAGTTTATAGATTCGCCGATAGCAACGAGCAAACCTTGAGTAGCTTTAAAAAAAAAACAAACAAAAAAAAACTATTAAAACGAATTTTAAACAGCATATACATGCATTTCTGCCATTTTATAAATATTTGATAAAACATTCACGATGTGGATATACAATAGGGACACTAACCAGCAAATTCACTACTGCTCATTGTGGTAGTTATGGTGCTTGGAGGCGTCGGTCTTAAGTCAGACAGACAGTTTTGAATAAATCTAACAAATCAAGGCTTCCTTTGGTACCAAAAGATCAATATTTCATAATGCGGTTGATCCAGTGTATGGTGACATTGCTGTAAACACTGTTAACCAATATATCAGTACCTTATGCATTTAAAGGGACACTAAAGTCACCAAAACAGACCCCTTCTGTCACTTCCCTCTGTCTAGCACCAATGTCCCTCGGCGCTGGCTTAGGTCTGCATTCGCTCCTCCCCTATTGACGTCAATCGACGGGGAGACCTAATCTGCATGCCCGGCAATGGCCGCATTAGGATTTTCCCAGAGGGAAGCATTATACAATGCTTCACTATGGGGTTTTGGATGACGCTGGACAAGGCATAGTGCCTTGCTTTATTAGAGTGCTAGCTCCTCAGACCAGGGGATATAATCAGTGTTTTGATTCCTGATATTCCCGGTGCCTTGCTTTATTAGAGTGCTAGCTCTTTAAACCAGGGGATATAATCAGAGTTTGATTCCCGATTTTCCCTGTGCCTTGCTTTATTAGAGGGCTAGTGTAACGGACCGTTTTGCACACAAGAGGTTAAAAACAGTTTAGGCGATATTCCCCTTTCAGCTGCACAGACAGCTACTGCGATCACCAATCTCCCGAACTGCAAACTACACGAATTCTCCAACTCCCGAACAGGGAACACACGAACACTTGGAAACAGCCGAACAGGAAAATCATACAATCCGCTTACAATCCAATTCCCCGGAAGAACGAGACGACACTTCGTTTTGAGGGTCAAGCAGGAACTGATTTACTGGGACTAACTGCCCGGCTTTTATGCAGGTCTCCCACCTGGGGGACACTCCCCTAGGGGACCAGATGGTAAACATATTGGACCTTAACCAAGAACAAGCTTACAATCCCACAATGCATCACAATCCCTCCTCTCTGTCCTGGAGATAATTGGGAAGTCATCCAATTATCTCCAAGGACAGAGGCAAAACTCCACATGGTTGTAATAAAACACTAAAATACATAATGTTCCATTTGTCACATAAAATATATACATTCTACATATCCCCAGATAGCTTAGATCTGAGCGCACGTTACTACCGAATACATACAGTCCAATCACCATGGAGCCAAAGTCTTTCGTTACACGAATAGGCTCCATGGCATGGCTATCTGGGGTGATGCTGCTCATACGGTCAAACTGCTGAATTAACAGTGATTCGGTTCCACTACCGAATGCAGAGGTAAGGAGGCTGGCGGCTCAGCGGTGTTCGCGCAAATAAGTGTCTGTTTTCAGTTCCATAGTTTGGGCGCTGAACACCGCTGGCTGTTCGGGAGCTAAAATGGCCGCTGCCACGTGTTTGGCAAACGAACGAAGGCCACCCAGCGTTAATCAATTAAGCTGCGGTTAACCGCAGCTTCTGGGCGGTCAATTGGCGGCACACTCCAATTCCCAGGTGGTCCATCGTTCGTTACTTTGTTTGGTAGATTGAATCTACTGAACACCCCGGCAGAAATGCAGGAATAAACCTTTCAACAGGGAAGATAACCGGTTTTAACTGCAGGGCCATAGTCTAAAGGGAGCAGGCGAGCAACCAGGCTTCTCCAGTGGACAGTGGCGAGGTTGGTTCCGCCACAGCTAGCTTTTTAGCCCAGGGGATATAATCAGTGTTTGGATTCCTGATTATTCCTGGTGCCTTGCTTTATTAGAGTGCTAGCTCATCAGCCCAGGGGATATAATCAGTGTTTGGATTCCTGATATTCCCTGTGCCTCGCTTTACTAGAGTGCAAGCTCCTCAGCCCAGGGGATATAATCAGTGTTTGGATTCCTGATATTCCCTGTGCCTTTCTTTATTAGAGTGCAAGCTCCTCAGCCCAGGGGATATAATCAGTGTTTGGATTCCTGATATTCCCTGTGCCTTGCTTTATTAGAGTGCAAGCTCCTCAGCCCAGGGGATATAATCAGTATTTGGATTCCTGATATTCCCTGTGCCTCGCCTTACTAGAGTGCTAGCTCATCAGCCCAGGGGATATAATCAGTGTTTGGATTCCTGATATTCCCGGTGCCTCGCCTTACTAGAGTGCTAGCTCCTCCGCCCAGGGGATATAATCAGTGTTTGGATTCCTGATATTCCCGGTGCCTTGCTACATTAGAGTGCTAGCTCCTCAGCCCAGGGGATATAATCAGTGTTTGGATTCCTGATATTCCCTGTGCCTTGCTTTATTAGAGTGCTAGCTCCTCAGCCCAGGGGATATAATCAGTGTTTGGATTCCTGATATTCCCTGTGCCTTGCTTAATTAGAGTGCTAGCTCCTCAGCCCAGGGGATATAATCAGTGTTTGGATTCCTGATATTCCCGGTGCCTTGCTATATTAGAGTGCTAGCTCCTCAGCCCAGTAGATATAATCAGTGTTTGGATTCCTGATATTCCCTGTGCCTCGCTTTATTAGAGTGCAAGCTCATCAGCCCAGGGGGTATAATCAGTGTTTGGATTCCTGATATTCCCTGTGCCTTGCTTTATTAGAGTGCAAGCTCCTCAGCCCAGGGGATATAATCAGTGTTTGGATTCCTGATATTCCCGGTGCCTCGCTATATTAGAGTGCTAGCTCCTCAGCCCAGGGGATATAATCAGTGTTTGGATTCCTGATATTCCCTGTGCTTTATTAGAGTGCAAGCTCCTCAGCCCAGGTACAGTTATTAACCATAACTAATTTTAACCAATCACAGTTAAGCGAAATGTTTCAACCAATCAGCTTCCAGTTCCACTCTCGCCGCGGCCAATCACGTCACAGCGGACAGGCACATCCCACCAATCAGATTGCGAAGTGGCGTCCTACCTTCCCGCTTCCACCAGCCCTTCCAGGAACCTGTCCACCAGGGTGTCAAAGATCAGCATGCGCTGAGGGGCCCCGGCGGCGGAGGGCCCTGGCTCCTGGGAGCTCCCGGAAGCAACCTCCACCACGTCATTTCGCTCCTCGACCTCCATCTCGTGAGGCGTCTCCCCGGAAACGCCCCTTTTTTCCCGCCAAATTACACCAGCGACTGTTACCCCCTGATTGGCTAGTTGGAATGTCAGTCAAGCTGCAAGCCCCGCCCCCGCCTGGCTCAATGCAATGAATAGGAAAACTTGTCTGTATTCAATAAAACTGCATGAAAAGTCCCCCTGTCCATAATAAACCATACACACACAGTATACACTGCTATACCTCCTATAATAAATATACACACAGTATACACTGCTATACCTCCTATAATAAATATACACACACAGTATACACTGCTATACCTCCTATAATAAATATACACACACAGTATACACTGCTATACCTGGTATAATAAATATACACACACAGTATACACTGCTATACCTGGTATAATAAATATACACACACAGTATACACTGCTATACCTGATATAATAAACCATACACACACAGTATACACTGCTATACCTGGTATAATAAATATACACACACAGTATACACTGCTATACCTCCTATAATAAATATACACACAGTATACACTGCTATACCTGGTATAATAAATATACACACACAGTATACACTGCTATACCTCCTATAATAAATATACGCACAGTATACACTGCTATACCTGATATAATAAACCATACACACACTGTATACACTGCTATACCTGATATAATAAACCATACACACACAGTATACACTGCTATACCTGATATAATAAACCATACACACACAGTATACACTGCTATACCTCATATAATAAATATACACACACTGTATACACTGCTATACCTCCTATAATAAATATACACACAGTATACACTGCTATACCTGGTATAATAAATATACACACCCAGTATACACTGCTATACCTCCTATAATAAATATACACACAGTATACACTGCTATACCTGGTATAATAAATATACACACACAGTATACACTGCTATACCTCATATAATAAATATACACACACAGTATACACTGCTATACCTCATATAATAAATATACACACCGTATACACTGCTATACCTGATATAATAAACCATACACACACAGTATACACTGCTATACCTGATATAATAAACCATACACACACAGTATACACTGCTATACCTCATATAATAAATATACACACACTGTATACACTGCTATACCTCATATAATAAATATACACACAGTATATACTGCTATACCTGATATAATAAACCATACACACACAGTATACACTGCTATACCTCATATAATAAATATACACACAGTATATACTGCTATACCTGATATAATAAACCATACACACACAGTATATACTGCTATACCTGATATAATAAACCATACACACACTGTATACACTGCTATACCTCATATAATAAATATACACACACACTGTATACACTGCTATACCTCATATAATAAATATACACACACTGTACACACTGCTATACCTCATATAATAAATATACACACACAGTATACACTGCTATACCTCATATAATAAATATACACACACTGTATACACTGCTATACCTGATATAATAAATATACACACACTGTACACACTGCTATACCTCATATAATAAATATACACACACAGTATACACTGCTATACCTGATATAATAAATATACACACACAGTATACACTGCTATACCTCATATAATAAATATACACACACAGTATACACTGCTATACCTGATATAATAAATATACACACACAGTATATACTGCTATACCTGATATAATAAACCATACACACACAGTATACACTGCTATACCTCATATAATAAATATACACACACTGTATACACTGCTATACCTGATATAATAAACCATACACACACAGTATACACTGCTATACCTGATATAATAAACCATACACACACTGTATACACTGCTATACCTGGTATAATAAATATACACACACACAGTATACACTGCTATACCTCATATAATAAATATACACACACCGTATACACTGCTATACCTCCTATAATAAATATACACACACTGTATACACTGCTATACCTCCTATAATAAATATACACACACTGTATACACTGCTATACCTGATATAATAAATATACACACACAGTATACACTGCTATACCTGATATAATAAATATACACACACTGTATACACTGCTATACCTGATATAATAAATATACACACACAGTATACACTGCTATACCTCATATAATAAATATACACACACAGTATATACTGCTATACCTCATATAATAAATATACACACACCGTATACACTGCTATACCTCATATAATAAATATACACACACCGTATACACTGCTATACCTCCTATAATAAATATACACACACTGTATACACTGCTATACCTGATATAATAAATATACACACACAGTATACACTGCTATACCTCATATAATAAATATACACACACTTTATACACTGCTATACCTCATATAATAAATATACACACACACCGTATACACTGCTATACCTCCTATAATAAATATACACACACAGTATACACTGCTATACCTGATATAATAAATATACACACACAGTATACACTGCTATACCTCATATAATAAATATACACACACTGTATACACTGCTATACCTCATATAATAAACCATACACACACACTGTATACACTGCTATACCTCATACAATAAATATACACACACTGTATACACTGCTATACCTCATATAATAAACCATACACACACACTGTATACACTGCTATACCTAATATAATAAATATACACACAGTATACACTGCTATACCTCATATAATAAATATACACACACTGTATACACTGCTATACCTCATATAATAAATATACATACACAGTATACACTGCTATACCTGATATAATAAATATATACACACAGTATACACTGCTATACCTGATATAATAAATATACACACACTGTATACACTGCTATACCTCATATAATAAATATACATACACAGTATACACTGCTATACCTGATATAATAAATATATACACACAGTATACACTGCTATACCTGATATAATAAATATACACACACTGTATGCACTGCTATACCTGATATAATAAATATACACACACTGTATACACTGCTATACCTGACATAATAAATATACACACACTGTATACACTGCTATACCTGACATAATAAATATACACACACAGTATGCACTGCTATACCTGACATAATAAATATACACACACAGTATACGCTGCTATACCTGACATAATAAATATACACACACACAGTATACACTGCTATACCTGATATAATAAATATACACACACTGTATACGCTGCTATACCTGACATAATAAATATACACACACACAGTATACACTGCTATACCTCATATAATAAATATACACACACACAGTATACACTACTATACCACATATAATAAATATACACACACTGTATACACTGCTATACCTCATATAATAAATATACACACACACAGTATACACTGCTATACCTGGTATAATAAATATACACACACTGTATACACTGCTGTACCTCATATAATAAATATACACACACTGTATACACTGCTATACCTCATATAATAAATATACACACACTGTATGGTGTAATATTACAGGATCTCACTGTTTCATATATTTTTATATTTAAAAATCCATAAATCAGGGGTGGGCAACTTTTGGCGCTGCGGATGCTGTGGATTTAATCCAGTATTGTGGTTGTAAGAGCAGAATATTATAATTTATTATTATTATTTATATAGCACCAATTTTTTCCGCAGCACAATTTATAAAGACTCAGGACTATAATTCCCACTATTCTCAGGCACCTCTGAAACATGTATGTCACATTCAATATGCTCTCCCTGACCTATTACATTTTATAATGATAAAATCTTTATGAAATACTCAAATTGACTGCATTGGAATTCCAACGCAATCAAAATACGTCAAATTGTGTTACGGTCACGACTAAATTGACAAAACTTGACAAACAGCAGAGATTATTACTGTGTCACGTTTTGTCAATTCCCACAAACGCCAAAAACAAACTGGCAAATCTGGCAGTCCTAGCCGGCTTTGTGCACACACTACAACAGGGTTTTAGTCACTGAATGTATTATTTACTAAATTGTGAAAGTATAGGTGAGAATAATTCAGAAACAAACTTCAAATAGACGTTTGGCTGAATTATGCAATTTTAGGCTTAAATAAGCTTCAAACATTCCTCCCAACTTTACCACATATAGTCCCCCAAAATCCCAATTGCAGTGCATCTTTAAAAACACTTGTGCACTGAGCATTTGAAGGGCTCTACACCCACCCTCACTGTAATCTTGCACACAATTCCTCCATTTTAACCATTAAACAATTGATGGCTTTGCGTTTAGGCCCTTTATACTCTAATTTCTACGATATGCGCTCAGTAATGTCAATGCAGGGCGTTTCTGCAGATCTCTGCATATGGATAGACTAACTGTAGGTAGGTGTCCCTGTCAACGCAGTTTACATTTGCGTCAGGCTGGCCCGCACGGTTTCTGTCCACCATAGGTCACTAGTGACACGTGTTGTCTCACTCTGGCCCATACCTCCCGTCAATCCTGATTTCATACCCTTTTATTGGGGGCGGTAGATGAGGATAAAGTGGGAGCGTACTAGACATGCAATTTGTTTCGCTCCGAATTTAAATTCGGCCGAATTTCGGACATTCCGATGCTTCCGAATTGCCAAATTCCCGAAGTGACGAATTTCGGAAGCGCCAAACTGAATTTGCAAAGTGCCGAATGTGGCAAACCTAGCCACTTGGATTATAACTAGAGACTATGCCTTTAAGGGTTGCCTACAGGTCTGGGGAGATATGTGCTTTACTCTATATGTGTATGCTGTATGTATTCTCTGCATTGCCTGTAATTGCCTTTTCCGCCGAATGCAAATGGCGGTTTGTATGGGGGTTTTCTTTCGTCCCACGAACGGCACTTTGGAGGGCCGTTCGTGAAACGAACGCAATGCCCCTAATAGCCCACACACTGCGTGTGGCGCTAGTTAACCGATTGCAACAA